ATGGACCAAGGTTCTGAAGGTAGGGCATCTCCCCTACCCATAAGACTGGATGGTTGTATTTGGAGAAAGGTTGGGGACAATTATGGGAGACATAACATTTGTTAGGCCTACTGTGAAACACACCCCTGACTGTTTTGTCACGCTGAGACCTGTAGGCACCTGGCCCTGCTCCACTTCCCTATATAATAAGTTAGTCTGGCTCTTGTTTCTGAGTAGGCTTTGCACAAACCTTTGTAGATAAGCAAGTGTCACATCATAAATGGGCGGTGGGGAGCCCTTGTTGACAAACATCTTGTGCTGAGTTTAAACTCATTCTTGAGGGCCGACACCAGACCACACACCGGCTTTGTCATTGTCTTAGTCACTTGATCCAGACAATAAACTGATGACATTCAGAGGGGTTGATATAAAGTTGTATTTTACATGTTCTGGGTATAGAAAATAGAAATCCTAAATCTAATACAATCTAATGATTTCTAACCTAGTAAGTTCTAATATATGTAAATTGCCTGTGGGACCATGCCTAGTCTCTCTCTCTCTCTCTCTCTCTCTCTCTCTCTCTCTCTCTCTCTCTCTCTCTCTCTCTCTCTCTCTCTCTCTCAACACACTATTTAAAACCATGAAACGGGCCGTAGATTCTCTTTTTAAAGTCATTTGTGGCACACACACACTACAACAGGCCAAGTGAATGCAGTCACGGCAGGGAACTGCATGGTTTGACTTATTTGAGCTGCCCTGGCATTAGGAAGAGAAGTATGGTTGCAGGGGCCAGGGAAGGGGAGATGGGAAGTCAGTATATCCCACGATCACAAAATCTCAGGGATCATGAAAAAGCGCAGACGGATAATGGTTGGTTGCATTACGATGTGAACACACTCATGCCACTGAAAGGTACCCTGAAAAGTGGCTGCCGGGCTGCAGAGACGGTTCGGGTGTTAATAGCACCCACTGCTCTTCTAGAGGACCAGGGTCCAATTCCCAGCACCCACATGGCAACTCACAACTGTGTATACCTACAGTTCCAAAGAGTCTGGCACCCCTGCTGGACTACTTGGGTACCTCACACATGTGGTGCATTAGACATACCTGCAAGCAGACACCTATACTCAGAAAATAAAAATAAGTAAATCTCAGAAACGATCTTTTTTTTTTAAAGTGGCTTCAGGGGAGCTGCAGAGGGGTCCCAGAGGTTAAGAACACTGGCTCTCCTCCAGAGGACCCTGCTTCAATTTCCACACAGTAGCTCATAACCATCTGTACCTGCAGTCCCAGGGGTCCCAGCGCCCTCTTCTGGCCTCCATGGGCACAGCGTGAATGTTGTGCTCAGACACGCAAGTAGACAAAATGCTCATACACGTGAAATGAAATAAAAAGGAAAGTGTTTGCAGGGTTGGTATAATGGCTCAGTGCTTGAAAATGATTACTACCAAGCCTAATGATCTGAGTCCAATCCCCAGGACCCATCTGATGAAAGAGAATTGACCCCCCCTTGAGTTGTCCTCTGATTTCTGAGTATGTGTGGCTGCAAACCCTGACCTGTGCCACAAAAAAAAAAAAAGGATGATAAGAAAGATAGTGCTTGCAGTGATAATTTTTATGGGGTATATGTTTATGGTTTGAAAGAGGAGCACTTTTTAAATGTAGTCACATTGGTAACACAGTAACAGTTATTGCTTTTCTTTGGGGCAATAACACTGATTTCTTGACGTGGTTTATTCATATAAAATAAATATACTCTGGTAAATTATTTGAAATCAAAGAAACTGTTTTCAGAGGTGTGTGTTATTATGCAAATAGCCAAGGAAATGCTTTCTTGTCCTTTAATTCCCAAGAAAGCAAAAGTTTAGCATTTGGTTATACATATTTATAAGCTATAGTCAATGGCAGTCTGTAATTCAGCAATGTATTGAAACAATTTAGAATGGATCTGGCTTTGTTTTTTTCTGTAACACCCTGACTAGAGGGGAGTAAGGACAGTAGGTGGCCTGGCTCCCCTAATTCTATCATGTGTGTCAGCTGACCCAGGTAAATCACCAGCGTCTATGTGAACCACTGAGTGGGGAGGCGGGGCAAGCCAGCTTAATTGTAGGCAATGATGAAAACCAGGCCACTTTAGCTCATATTCTTGAGAGTAGGCTGGGCTCTGTCTGCTGACCTGAGAAGAACATGAACAGAATTTGAAGGGAAAACTTCTGTCTCGAGTAAGGCAAATGGAAAAAATGTTCTGTTGAGAAAGATGACCATAGTGGTGAAGGACACAAAGATGTCAGAGACAAAGCTGTCAGGGGCCATGAGAGATACAGCAGGTGTTAACTAGTGTAAACTCTTAATAGTCTGCCTTGTCCTCTTACTCAGACTAGCTGCATACAATTATCTCACTTTCACCTCAGAACAAGTTCAAACTAAAGACATTTTTGTAAATAGATCGTAAGTGTGAAACCTTACAGTTATCTACAAGGTCAGAGACATAGATGTCTAACCAAGGTTACTAAGAAAAGCATGCCTATTCTTCACTGGCTAGTCTGCTAATAATAGATCTGTGTCTTAAAGTTGTCATTGGGCACTGTGCCCTCCCTGTCTGGTCATGGATTTTTCTCCTATGGCCTTGAACCCTTGTGTTGTTATGGTAAACAGCTCAGCTCCTTATTGCTTGCGCTAGGAATGTCCTTTGGACCAATGAGAGGCCCCTGAAGGAGAAGAGTTTTCAGAACAGAAGAAGCTAGAAGAAACATGGAAAAGTTAGAAGTAGGACAGGGTTATTAGAGTAAAAATACAACAATAAAGAGCACCAGAAATAAAGAACTCGCCCCTCAGATTGTGTGTGAAGTCACTATAGAAATCTTTTACCTCCTCCTTTGCTCCCAAGAAGCATTTCACCTCTGCAAGCCTGGGTAGGGGCTGGAACAGGTCTCTTAGCCCTTACACAAAGCAAAATGCTTCTTAGTACAGACTGGAAGACGGGGGCAACAGAACACCAGACAGCTAGAACCCATGTGGACGGATGTGGGGTCACTTTCCTGGACTGGGGCCACACAGTGAGGTGTGGGAGTGCTGACATCCCATAGGGACAGACACATCCACAGGCATTCTGCTGAGTAGGAGTTTCTGTGCTGGGTGCTACTGGGGTTCTCCAAGCCCTGAAGAGCATCATTGAGTGTCCATGCCCGTTCCTTTACCCCAACCCCCTTGCCCAGACAGTTAACACCTGAAGAGACCTCCGATAGTACCCAGCTCTATCCCCTGATCATGGATGAGACCTCAAGGTCTAAGGGACAAGACTGTGTCCAGGTGGAGTATCAGAGGCAGCAGCACCCAGATCTCCTGGTACCTAACATCTTTTTGGGAAAGTCTCGCTTGGCCCAGGAGCTGTGTGTTGCTTTCTAATTCTTTCTTGCCACGTGATCTCATTTAGCTAATTTACAACTCTAGGCTGCAGACCGAATTATAGCTATTTGTTTCCCTTCCGCGGTTGCAAGCTAAAGAAAAGCAGGCGTCATTAATTCCGCACTTTTCTCCGAACAGCATGTTAACAAGCTTTTAGATGGCGCTGCAGCCACTGAGCTTTTCTGAGAAGGTGAAAAGGTCTCTGGTCCATATGGTCTAGATTCTTGTAGGTTTTCATTTCAAACGCTAAGGTTGACAGATCCGCTAGGAGCAAATGGGATATTAGTTAATATCTAATTACTCCTAACACAAGTCACAGACCATTTAACTGAGGCAGATGCCAGTCTTTGCCTCCACAAGACCCACATAGGACAATTTACTTTTTCTCTGCCACTTGGCCTTGTCTCTTATCTCTGCAGTAGCTCCACAATTTGATGCGAATGGACCTTTTTCTTCCCAGGCGAGCTTCCAGGTTAGCCTCCACCATCTTTTGCTTTCTTACTATTTAATGTGCTAATAGACGCTAGGATGCCAGAGTGTAAAACAAAATAAGACTACCCCAGCTGTGGCCTTATATCTCTGAAAACCCATGGTAGTTTGAGTAACACTGAACCTGGGTTGTTTTTTGAGTTTCCTTGCTTGGCAAAGTGCCAGACAGGAGAATTTGTAGGCAGGGAGTCATCTAGCTGGCCTGGTGCCAAATTAAAATCACCAGAACAATATCCCAGTTTCCTGTTTGAAATCTGAGCAACAATAGCGTGCCACACTCCACTGATGCAGGGTTTACCTGACCATGTGATACAGGAGGGTTATAAGAGTCAGAAAGTCACTTATAGTCCCCTATGCTCAAGAGATGGAGCAGTACCCAGGAAGCAAGCCAATGAGACAGGACTGACATTCAACAGGATTGCTCAATGATCTGCTGTGACCACTTCAGGGACCAGGGTTGATGTGAAAACACTTGGTACACGCCTGTGTACCATTTCAGGGAGGAGGGCCATATGGAGGCAAGAGGGCTGTCTTAGGTGTCCTGCTCTGCCACTCTTCTTCATTCCCTGAACACAGCAAGGGTCTTATTGAACCTGGAGCAATGCTGTCCCTGACCTTCCATACCCCTGGGCTTACAGGCTATCTGCTCCTGCCTTCCAGGAACACAGATCAGGTTCTCGTGTTTGCAACAAGCACTCTCACCCACTGAGGCATCTCTTCACCCATGAAAGTAGAGAATCAAAGGTGAGGTTTGTTTATACCCCTGGAATGTGTTCAGGGTCAGGAATGCAGGAGCCTGGGGCTTAAGAGCATTCCACTTGAAGGAGAATGAGTCAAGTCATTAGAAATCTTGGTGCACAACTGTTGAGTGCATCGCTCACCTGAAGGCAATGAGTGTACAAGAGTGCCCTAGGAACATGCAGGAGATAAACAGAGGGGAAGAGGTTAAAACCCAGCCAAGTCATAGCAGGCCTAGGGGGCATCTGCAGCTGTTGCGGGGACTTCCATGGACACAGGGGAAAGTCAGAGTGCAGCTTTATTCTAGAACGCCTTACAGGGGGGCAGTATATGTAGAAAACAGCACTTTAGCAGGGTAATTTCTATCTTAAAAAATGACCAAAAGAACAAAGAATTAGAAGAATTTTAATAAAATCAACAAGTTTACATTTGTACACCTTGGGGATTTGGGACCCATTAAGAGGCAAAGGAAGCTATGAGGACAGAGGTTCCTGTGGGAGAGCAAGCAGACAGCAAGGGCTGCCCCAGTTGTGCAACAGGTGACAAGTGACAGTGTGACCGAGCACTCACTGCTCTGTGCTCCAGAGTGTCAAGCATGGCTCATGAGACCTCTCAGCTCTGTGCCCACACCCGGTGCCCACACACCAGGTGACGGGCCTCCGTTAACACCTGGTAGGCAGCAGCAGGTAAACAGTTCCCCCGAATTAAACAGTCCCGCCCGTCAGTTATGAATGTGAACCAATCTCAGCCCATGCTGCTCTAAGTAGGAAGCTTGCACAGAGCCTAAAGGGAGGAAAAAGGCCGGTTGTCATGGCACCGCTCAATGGACAGTCACCGGCTGTGAGCAGGGCTGTGATGGGACCATGTGTTCATCTTTAAAATGGGATTTGAGAAACGGCCCTTGGGAGAGTTGAGGAGATATGATTCGCAACATATGAGGTGATTCTTCGCCTTGTAGAACTGTTTGCATTAAAGGATTTGGCGGGGGTTGGACTGTTCAACTTTGTCGCTCAATACTCAGAGAAGAGACTAGTGTCCCCATGTTAGGAGTGAGCAGTCATGCGCCCTTTCTGAGACTGAACCATTTTGTGCAGGGAGAACAGCGCTTTTAGGTTTGACACTGCTCACGGGGTAACTTGTTCTTTGGGAATTAAGATGCCAATTCATAGGTTGTAATATTATGCAGTGAGGAGAGTGTTCTCAGTCATCCTTGGGACACAGGGGAGCTGCAAGGAGACTTCATTTATTCTTAGACACTCAACAGGGTGTCAGTCCCTTGAACGGGGTAATAGACGCTTTTACTTCCTGGCTTACTCAGAATCCCAAGAGGAAAGGAACACACTGATCATTGTAAGTACAGGGAGCATCGTGTGGAGAGTGGGCACCGAGGGGAGGCTGGCGTGGAGGGAGGGTGTGACCTGTCAGCCCACCGATCACAGAAGAGGGTGTGCTGTCTGCCCTGAGGCTCTCAGAACCAGCATCCTGACGACGGCTGGATGACTTGAAGGAGGGCAGTGAAATGGCAAGAGCTGCAGCTTCTGTGACACGACACAGAATCACCAAGTCCGGTTGGTCGTGGATGAGGCCTTTCCTTTGAGCGTTCAGGAAAGCTCGGCAGGCACAGAAAGTGCCGGCAGAGCAGGTGGCCCGGCCAGAATGCCTCCTGAGGCCCCTCGGAAACACCGTCGGGAAACAGGGACGGCTATAGGGCGGAGGCCGATGCCAGCCTCCCCTGGAAGGCTCATCGGTTTACTCTTTCCCTTTGATGTTCCCAAGTAGTCATTAGGAGGTACACTTCAGTGAGGAAAGGAATATCTGTAATGAAAATGGCTGAGGAAATTCCAAACGAGAGAAAACTACACAGATAATGTGAATTCAAATGATAATATTTAGCTGTGTATGCCCATCAAGAGGTTTCCAATCAAGTGGATGGAAACCAACCTGTTACTGGCCATCATACAGCCTGGGTCCCCTCTCTGTTGCAGTCTTCAGGACGGGCAAAGCAGCTTCCCACTTAGATCTCTTTTTCTTTTCCCTGTGTGTGTGTGTGTGTGTGTGTGTGTGTGTGTGTGTGTGTGTGTGTGTGTGTGTGTGTGTGTGTGTAAGGACAGCCTATGGGAGTTCTCTCCTCCCACATATAGGATCCGGGGATTGAATTCAGGTTGTCAGGCTTGGTGGCAAGTGCCTCTGCCCACCAAACCATTTCACCATCCCGCCTGCTTCAAGCTTTATCTGTTTCTAAATAGATCTCCATGTGCTAGGCAGTCCGATGCATAGGACCTTACACCAACTGAGTGCTTAAGTGAACAAGGCAAAGGGTTTTGGAGGTTGACAGCTGGATGGGGAGAACAGAAACTATGCCCACTTTCGCGGCAGATGCAGAGACTCTGTGAAGAGCACACCTCCTCAGAAGGCAAGGTGCCCACCTCAGGACTCTGCACCCTGGACACTTGCCTGAGTCTCATTTCTGGGCCCCACCTGTGTCCGGATCACCCAGGTTACACTGCCTGCTTTTCAAAGTTGGCTTGTGCTTTGGATGACGGTAACCTCCTGGACGGGTAGTCTCTGGCCTGTCACTATTCTTGGGGTTTCAGGCCTCTTCTGTTTACATTCACACAAAGAACAATCAGTGGTGAGGTGCCCTCATTTCCCAAGGATACCACTCCCCTGGCACCCAGATGCCTTCCTTCCCTTTGTTCTGGCTGGCTGGCACAAAGCAGATTTGGAAAAGAACTCAGAATCCCCATTGCAGCCTGGAACCGCGCTTCTCAAGTCCGAGTGCCAGGGCTGGGTGAGCTGGGGGTCGTGTGTCTGCTGGCAGCACAGTGGGTGTGCACGAGCCCTCCATTTGGGTATCTGACAAACACAGGCTCACCGAAAGGGTTCTGGCAGAGCTGGCAAAGCTTTTTTTCTGAGAGCCGGACTGCACTTCCCTTTAGCTTCATCTGCAAACAGAAAGCAATAAACAGTGAGGAGGCTGAGTCGGGGTGGATGTACATTCTGCCGTGGACTATGCCGCCAGGAGTGCGCCCCATCAACTTCTTGACATAGGGTACAACAAATGGAAACAAACAGAACCATCCTTAGAGAGCAGACAGAGGAAGCGGCAGAGTTGCTTTCCTTTTATTTTTAAAGATTGATTTAGTCATTTTTATATGTATCTGTGTGTGCCTGTATGAGTTTAGGTGCCTGCAGAAGCCAGAAAAGGTCATCGGACCCCTAGAACTGAAGTGAGCCACCATGTGGGTGCTGGGGACTGAACCCAGGTCCTCTGCAAGAGCACTGAGCACTCTTCAACTCTGAGCCATCTATCTCTCCAGTCCCAGGAGTTAGTTTTCTTAAAGTAACCACTGTGTGTCTGGAAATCTCTATACAAACTCTTCCCTTCAGCGTTCTCAAAGCACTCACTGTCTTAACCCCAGGCTGACAGAAAAGCATGGCTATTGGAGTTGAGTGGGACCAAGTAAGACCCTCATTTGCATATAAAAAGCAGGACCCAAATCAGGGATTTGGTCACAGTCACTCAGTTAATTAGTGGCACATCATTCTCACATCACAATTTCATTTTTTGAAAGTTAGTAAGAAACGGTACCTGTCACTATTGGCCCTTGTCTGATAATTAAGACTTGAGTTGCATAACTTAAGATTTTTCTATACAATCTCTCCAACAGTCTGGGCAAGTCAGTCCCCTGACGGGGCAAGCAGCAACTCAGGGAATTCTCCTGCATGGACTAGTGCCCTCAACATGCAGCCCTGAAGCGTGCAGGGGTTGGCACTAGGAAAGCATAAATAAAGGCCCCTGTCCTCACTATCTGAAAGTAAGAGAGGAAGTTGTCAGTGCACACACAAGGGTGTGGGTCGGCAAAAGACTTAAAGCTTAAGGCTTTAAGGTGGAGAAAAAGAGGCAGGCCAAATGCTGACTGGGTGTTCACAAAGAGAAAGGGAAAATACTGCAGGTGGTGGGCTCAGCAGGTACCAAGGGCAGGAGGTAAGGCAGCAGGCCACATGGCCAGGCAGCTAAGGCCAGGACATGTGCTGGGAAGCGAGAAGGAATTAGAAAGACAAGAGGTGACACTGAATCTTCCAGGCCACACGGGTCTTAAGGAAGGCCTATGTGTGGGACAATAAATGATTCCTCTCTTTCAGTCAACCATGTTGGTTTCTGAACTGGCCTAGGAGGTACTTCCTTCTGGGCTCTTCCATGTGACTGTCACAAGGCTCAGTTTTGTCCTCTGTGCACTAGAGAGGACACCAAAAGACACCACCATGATGCTATGAAGTGCTCCAAAAGGCATAAAGAATGTATCTGGGGAGTGTCACTATTCATAGACTACTCACCTTCCCTTCACAGTCTGCCTAGTTTTGTTTGTTTGAGACAGGGTCTTGCACTGAAGCCCACACTGGTCTGGAACTTACTATGCACCCCAGGCTGACCTTGAGGTCCTGACCATTTTCCTGGCCCACCCCCCAAGTGCTGGGATGACAGTGAGTGACCACATCCAGCTCTACACTTGCGTGATTACCAGTGTCCAAATGGAAAAGGTCTCACTGATGTTGCCAGAGCAGCCTCTGCCTCTGCTCACATAGATCTCTGTCTCTTGATGGGAACACTCGATACATGTAGAACAGAAAGAAGAACTAACCAAGACTAGTATTTTCATAGGCTAAAAACTCACTTCTCGTGCAACATGGTCTTGCAGAGAAGCAAGCTGGCACAAAGGCCAGGCACTCACCTTATCATACATGTAAATCAGGTTTTCTGACTTGGCCAGGCCAAGAGCCACCTGTGTGGTCCTCCTGGCATGGATGCTGTCCCTCATAGCCCCTGTGAGGAACGGGCAGAGAAGCTGCACTGACCAGGTGTCAGGCAGCAGCTGCAGGACCTGGGTGGCATCAAATTCCCTGGCGTGATGGTTCAGCAAGTCCACAGCAGCCACAGTCAGCTCGTGGGCAGAGGGGCCTGCGCGGAGGTACATGGCGAGCAGTGTGTGGAAAAGGTGCTGACGGCAGGCTGTGTCCTGACCCTCAGAGCCCCAGAGGCAGTAGTCCTCAGCTGCAGAGAAGTCCCCCATCTCATGCACCAGGATATGCAGGGCCTTCTCGTGCTCGCCCAGCTTCCCGTGGAGGATGGCGCTCTCCATGGGCAGGCCAGCGTCCTGGATCTTCTCTGTCAGATAAAAATTGGCACTCAGTAACACTGAGCTGGCTGGCTGAGCTCACCTGCTTGTTCCTGCAGCCTCAGAAAGAGCAGGCTATCTGGCTACCTAGACATTGCTAAATACTGCCACCTAGCTGGTTGAGGGAGGTGGTGGCTCCTTGGATTTTTTTCCCCTGGTGACTCTTGAGTCACAGAAAAACTGAAGACAGACTCCACTGCTATGAACCAATGGGTGAGTCTGGTCTCAAAAGGCCCCTAAGCATCGCTGGAACCCTAGCTCCTGGTCTGCGGTTACCATAGCATCACTCTGTCTTCCAGTATGGAATCTTATGACTAACACACAGGGGGAACAGCTGTCTCCCCCTCCATGTCTTCAGGGGAACTAGAGTCAAGACTCTCTAAGAAAGAGCCCCAAATTCCCTGCAGTGTTTAAGTACCTAACACTATAGTCTTAAGGACTTGAAGGACTTATGACACAGTGTAAATGTGGCTGACTATAAGGCTGTGATATTTAGGGGGAAATATTTTTTAATCACAGTTGGTTGACTCTGCAGATGCAGAACCTACAGATAAATTCCAAATATCCATTTTATTAAAAAGCCATGTCCAATACCCTTTATTCCAATTTGACATACGCTTTGCTGAAAGGAACATGGGTTCAAGGTATTTTAAAAAATCCTATCTGTATTATCCCACGAGTGTCTGCAGAAATAAAAACTTTTCCTCTGTTCCCCCTGCAGTTAAGCTTCTAGAAATGACACAGCCCAGAGGTGTGTCAGTCCTCATCAAGGCTTCCCCTCAGTGGGCTGATGGGCTAAGTCTCACTACCAAGGTCACTTTGCTCCCCTGTGGGCTATGAAAAAGGGGGCAACACAAGATATTCCCAGGACGATTCTCAGTTGAGGGCCAAGAGAGTAAATGACAGGCATTGGCATCTGTCGCTTGGCCACTATGGGCTGCTGCTCAGGCCTGATGCCCAAGGCAGATATTACCAGCCTGGGGGTAAAGGCCTGGCTGTACAGGTACAGCGGCAGCCAGATGCCACGGCACACATGCATTGGCATCGTCCCCACAGTGAAGCATCAGGAATTAACTACTAGGAGGCTGCCATATTTAAGGCACAGACAGAGGTAAGGAAACGGGAGCTACTCAGTTTCCATGCTCAGACTATGACATTTCCTAAGGGCATGAGCATCGCAGATCTGGGGAGTCCTTGGGGGTCCACATGACACCTCCAGGGATACTGAGTGATGAAGGTACTGAAATCATTGGAAAGACCTGAATCGTGGTGTTTTAAAGCTCAATTCAAAACTCATCAGGACAGCTCTAAGGAAAAGGGCCTTGAGGCTCAAGGAAGCACCCTACAGGGCAATGGCTCCCAGTCCCAGCCCCAAAGAAGTCTCTCACTGGGATTCAAAGCTTATCCTCACCTTTCAACAAGTGGACACGGTATGAGTCAGACTTCTGGAGCAGCCTCCGGAGTTTGACCTGTGTCTCAGTGGCTTCTATGTCCTTGCTGTCAGTGGCTACCCTCTGCCGCAGCACTTCTTCCAGGTAGAGGGTGGCGAGGTGGGTGTGGTACTCCTCTTTCTGTGGAAATCAGGGATGCGCCAGACACAGTGTTTACCTGAGGGAGGCTGTGCTGGAGTCTTAAACATGGTAGGTAGGCAGGACACCATCAGGGCACTGGAAAGTCCCCAGGAACCCCAACACAGAGGAAGGGGTTACAGTCATGCTGCTATAGTGTGGATGCTGAATGTACCCTCAAAGTCCATGGGATGCTACTGGGGGGTGGGGATGGGACTTGGAAGAGATGGAGCCAATAGGAAGGAGTGGGCCCACAGCAGGGACAATGGAACTTCAGCAAATGCCTTGCCCTGACCTGCCCTGCTCTGCCCTCTTGACTTTCTGACGATGGCACTGCCCTCTTCTGCCAAGATGCATCATCAAAAAGAATGGGACAACCTGTCACAGATCAAAAGCTCCAGGTTTGTGGGCAAAACAAACCCCTGCCCTTCTTAAGTTAATTGCCTGGAGAATTTTGTCATAACGATGGAAAGAAGACTAACACGGGTGGGGGACACAGGAAGGGTTATCTTCACTCTGGTATTCTATAAATGGCGCAGCTTCTCCCATTTCCTTTGAGGATAGTAACAAAGAGAAGTATAGTGGCTGTGAGACTGGAGATAAAAACATCTAACTCTTCCCTCCGGAATGTTTCCGCAAAGGCGCATACTCCCTCAGATAATCAACAAGCACATCAACAAGCTGGGGACATGACCAGCCCCCAAAGTGACAGTCAGATTCGTTTCCCTAAGTTGTGAGTGACTTTGCAGCCAGGGACCTTGGTCCAGCCTCTGAGTGCTCACCTGCAGTCTCCTGTCGATGACAAGATGCTCCAGATATTTAACCAGGGCTTTAGGGTATTTCTTAAGGCAACGAATAATGTCATCTGGATTAAAACTAGTTTGTTGCTGCTCATCCAGGGGTCTCTTGGTGAAAACTTGAACTCCAATCTGCAGAAAGAGCATCAATTCAGTTTTCTTCATCTTTCCTTTAGTCACTTAATGTTTACCGTTTGGCTAACACCATGCAGACTATGCTGATGTATTAAGCAGATGCCACACTTATCTCAAAAATATGGAAGAAAACATCTAGTAAGAATGCGGGAGAAAGACCAAACAAAGGGCATGGTGCAGACAGGAACAAGGCTGGCGTTTCGAAACAATCCCCACATGCTGCTGGGGTTTCTCCTAGAATGGTTGGCAACCGATGAATGGAGCAGTCAATGGTAATAGGCTTTGACAGCCATGCAACAAACACTAGTGCTATTAAGATTATCCTAAATAGAGACTGTGCCTTGCAAAGTTTAAGCGAGAAAAATTTAGAAAGAATGAAAAGGCAGTGTGCTCTTGGCTGTCTGAATACAATGTCTGGCTAGCAGATTATTTCCTGTGTTTGGCTAGTCCACCATCTGAGCCTGTGGTCCCTGAACAGCTTCCAGGCTGCCTTCCCATGTCAGCCATGAGGAGCACTCTAGACCAATTCTGCCTTCTGAGAAAATCCTAAGAAGGCCATTACACCTTGCTGGGTTCACCGTACACGTACATGTGCAAGTAATATTGCGTGCCCACAGCTTTGCATGTACACATTCCACATATCCTCTGAACCCCAAACACCAGAGACATGACCCAGCTCCAGGTATGGATTTGTGTCTCAGCTCTGCCTGCCTACATGACCTTGAAAAGCTCTGCTATTTGTTTGTTTTTTCCTTTTGTTTTCAGTCTTTTTTTTTTTTTTTTTTTTTTAGTTTTGTTGTTGTTGTTGGTGGTGGTTAGTTTTCCAAGACAGGCTTTCTCTGTTTAGCCATGGTTGTCCTGGAACTCACTCTGTAGACCAGGCTGGCCTTGAACTCACAGAAATACACATGCCTCTGCGTTCTGAGTGTTGGGATGAAAGGACTGTTAACCCCATCTGTGAACCATGCCCTTCAAGAGACAACAAAGGTCAACGGGTGGCCACAATGTGCACACAGAATCTGTGTGTTTGCCTATGATTGCCCAGTGAGCGGAAAGGACCTAACCCTTTCAATGACTCTATCCACACCACAGGAACATGTGCTGGTGTGTCCTGTAGACACGTGTAGGGGTAAAGGAGGATGGAATAAATATATTTTAATATACAAATAAAATATACAAGGTGAGGCCCCTGAGCTGGCTCAGCAGGTAGAGTTCTTGCTGCCAAGCTTGGATATTTGAGTTCAATCCCTGGGAAGTGCTTGGAGGAAGGTGAGAACCTCAGCTGCCCTCTGATAATCACACATACAGTATGGTACATGTATGTACATGTATGTGCACAAATACACACAAATAAATAAATGTAATTTGAAAATGTTTCAATATGGAAAGCATAAGGGCTCTGATCTGGCTCAGGAAGTACAATGCACAGCAGGGGAGTCTGCCCTGCCCTGTCCTGCCTTGAGCTTGTCTGATCTTGTCTCTCCAAGGTGGGGGGGGCAAGGAAATGGGTCCCTTATGCTTGTGAGGGTGGCCTGTGGGGTCTCACTAGAGTCTGCGTCTTTCTATCCTAAGCATGCTGCCTGGCTCTAGAGCACTGGCTCTCAACCTGTGGGGTCACATGTCAGATATTCACATTACGATTCGTAACAGCAAAATTACAGTTATGAATTTTATGGTTGGGGAGGCACCACAATATGAAGAACTCTATTAAAGGGTCTCGACATTAGGAAGGTTGAGAACCACGGCTCTACAGCCAAGAGTCAACGGTTGTTTTTTCACTATTGTACTGTTTCAGCCTCCAAGAGGAGCCTGGTCATGGTCAGGCAACTTCACACCTCCATGTCCATGGCCTCTAAGTAGGAGAGGCAGAAACAGAAGAGGAAGGATGGTGGCCTTCCTGATGTGTCCCAGTGGTCCTTCTTCCAAAGGACCAGGCTGTGCAGGGTAACAACCTGTTCCCATCCCAGAAAACAAAATGCAGACTTGTGTCCCCCGGCAAGTGCAGAGGGAACTGTAGTGTGTTTGCAGAACAGCGGGAGCATGCGCACACTAGACTGTCTGTATTTCTAGAGAGGCTCTGCAGGGGGGCTCTGCAGGACCTCAGCAGCAGCACACTGTGGCATTTGCTCAAAGGAAGGGATTCAAAACAGTGCAAAGAAAATGGGGAGAATGAGTGCAGCTTTTTTCCCCTTCCACCTACAGTTGAGCGTGCTTTGGTGTCTTTTACCAGCCATTCTGAAGAGAATGCATTATGAAACACAAACCTCCTCACTTTTCTGCAACAGCCAGTCAGCATGGGCCCACACCAGCTCTTGGTCTAAGCAGTAGGTAAGAAAATCAACGATGTATTCATACAGGTCTGAGCGTGTGGAGTCCTGGATGTCCCCATTCACAATGTTCACCCACAACTGAAAAGAAATGAAAACCAAGAAACTTTAAATCCAGAATGTTGTATGTCTGTAGAATTATCTTACAAAGCCCTTGTTTTCTAACTCTCTTAAGACTTCTAAAAACACAGGGATGAAGCATCCCTCACATGTGAATCTAGAATCCGAACACTGGCAAACATGTTGACGGTGCAGCCTGGATTTCAGGGTTGCAGACTGGATGGCTGGCTGGGGTGGCTCTCACTGCCCATGAATCACTTCAAAATCTGAAAAACTCTTGACATTTTAAACAATTCTGGTCCCCAGAATTTTGAACAAAAGGTGCTCTACAGAATGCTGTAAATTCCTAGACCAGTTTTGTTTTGTTTTGTTTTGAGAAACAAATCTGAAAATCCAAAGGTGCTAAATTTTCTTTACAATGTGAGATGATGCTAAAAGTGGAAAATTCCACACCATAAGTCTTTTGAGCACAGACTTATAAAAAGTATTGTATAAATTACTTTCATGCTATTTGTGTAAGACATGAGTGAAATTTAGTTTAGGCTCAGGTCTTATGTCCAAGACATTTCATTTTGTTCACGCAAATACTACAAAATCTAAAATAAGTTGCAATTTAAAATGGTGGTGATCCCCTCAATTAAAAGTGTTTACGATGCTTAATGCATATGAATTTTTTAGTCCTGAATTCAGTCCTGATTCAGTTATTAAATAACTGAATCAAAGGTCCACTAAAAAGTATTGATTTTTTTAAATGAAACTTTGGCACTTAGGAATATTTACTCCATATTATCCAAGTATGCAAATCTTTCTCTATAGCTGGGCTAACATCATCATAGCACACGTGCAGTAATTCTAAAGATGCTGCTACCATGTCTTAAAAATACACTTTCTGTCTGTAATATCCAAATCTGCTCTTGGCCTTGAGGCAGGAACTCATTTTCCTGTTCTCTTCGCTCCGCAATTATGTCATTGTGATGCTTTAGCAAAGTAGCTGCAGACTAAACTCACGAACGCATGAGCAAAGCCAGGGAGCCGATGTTACACAAAAGGCTCTCGAGGGAACTAGCACCCAATGCGATCTGCGCTGCTGTAACAGGGCAGACAGGAGTGCCTCTCCCCAGGGCGTGAGAAGATGCTCTGTAAAGATCAATGGAAAGTGTAAGGTGCAAGCCAAGAGACAAGGCTAACAAATCGATGCCATTGAATTCAGGCCCAGCATCCCTGCTGGCCTTTACATCACAGCTCCTCCACAGAGCAGGGCATGAACTTCATCACTGTGGTTCTGCATTGGTGCTGTAAGGGAAGCAACTGCCTAGCTCACTGGCAATGGCTGCTGTTACTAACGGGAAATTATCAATGCAACTGTTACCTGCTGCCCTAATTTTTTAAAGGTGATGTCATATGCCTGCTGGCTCAGCAAAAAGAGTACATTTTTAAGCTAATGTCACAGAAGTCATGAAAAGCAGTGGATATTAGCAGTTAGGAAGGGCAGGGAGGGGATGGGCAGGGGAAAGTTAGATATGAGTTACCAAATACAGTTAGAGAAATAATCCTTAGTGTTCTGCGCTCACCGGGGTAAATAAAAGAACTAAAACAGAGGAGCTCCAAGTTTCCCAGTGCAGAGAGAGGGTGAGCAGTTAAGAAGGTGGGGACACCAGTGACCATGACTACACCACCTTCCACTGTAAGCTCGTGTCAAGTGGTACACTGAATCCAAGAAATGTGTACATTACTATGTGACAAATTTCTAAATACATATTGATGTGTATGTATGTATGTATGTGTCTATGTGTGCAGTGTCCACAGAGGCCAGAAGAGGGGGCCAATCACTAGGATCTGGAGTTATAAGGTTGTGAGCCATCAACTCAGGTGCTGGTATGGCCTCTTAGCCACTGAGCCATCGCTCCAGACCCCTTTTCATTTTTAAAAAGGAAATCAGCCTTTTTTCATTTCTTCAATTTTCCCAAACTCAAGCTTCATAATGTTCTTTAAAGAAATTTAAAGACATCACTTCATCACCTCCTGGCCTTTTTATCAGGAAGAGACTTGAAGCCAACACTTCCCACTTTCCCACTTTTGAGCAGTGTTAGGCTTGCTCTCTGTAGAGAAGGCCAGATCAGACAAAAGCACTTTCTATTGATTGATGGGAGTAACACAAAATTAAAGGTCATGGTCTTTTAACAATACTAAAATGCTTTCTTAAAAATTCTGTGTGTGTGTACACGCATACTCGTGTGTTTCGGGGGAGAGGGGTGTGTGTGGGTGTGTGGTGTATGTATAAATGTGGAAGCCTGTGTGCCTCAGTACGCATGTGGAGGTCTGAGAACAACTTTCAAAAGTTGGTTTTTCTGTCACCATGGGTTGTGAGGCTCAGACTCGGGGTGTTGAGCAGTGCATAGCAGGTGCTCTTACCTGCCAAGTCACCTTGCTAGCCCACTAAAAGCTTTTCGAACTCACCTGAACTGCAGAGGCATCTTGTTTATTGTAATGATAGAGCAGTCCTAGTGCAAAATACCTAGGGAAAAGGAGGAAAAGGATAAGCAGACACAGCACACTGTCTGGGACAGGCATAGCTCATGCTCTGCCCATGGTCTTCTTCCCACTCAGCAGGTGACCCCCAGAGAGGTCAGGGCCACATCTCAAGTGTCAGCTGGAACCTTCTCTTTTAAATCTCTGGGGCCATTATATGACTTTCTGTAGATACAACATCCTGAGTCACTATCACCAGGTGTCAGTGTGCATTCTGGATCTGAAACCAACAGGCTGAGTAGACTAATATAAAACCTGAAATCTGAAACATGTCAAAACATGAAACTTCAAGGACAAACTAGATGATCAAAAAACTTAGGGTCTCTCTCTCTCTCTCTCTCTCTCTCTCTCTCTCTCTCTCTCTCTCTCTCTCTCTCTCTCTCTCTGTGTGTGTGTGTGTGTGTGTATGTGTGTGTGTGTGTGTGTGTGTGTGTGTGCGCGCGCGCATGTGTAGTCCCCAGTGTAGTCTGCATGTGTTTGGGGCATGTTCCTGTGGAGGCCAACACTGGCCTTCAGCCATCTTCCTCCATCACTCTCCACTCTGTTGAGTGAAGCCGGGTCTCTCACTGAGCCTGGAGTCCATTGGTTGTGTAGTCTAGGAGGCAGCAGGCCCCATGAGGGCTGCCACGTGTGCCCAGCTTTCCTGTGGGTTCTGGAGTCTAAGGTCCAGTCCTCATGCTTGTAGAGGCACTGAGCCCTTCCCTGAGCCTGTTTCAGGTCTTAAAGCATATCAGATTTTAGAGTTCCAGATTAGGAAATTCTCCTATCCAGGCATTTTGATTAAGAGATATGCAACTTACACCAGCATTCCATAATGTGCTCACTGCAAGCTATGGAAAGAGCTAACAACTGCCAAGGAATCCCATACTACCTTAGGCGTACTACCTGAGTTCCTTTTCATCTCCAATTCTAAACAACAATCACATGAGGGCTGGGGAGATGGCTAGGCTTTTAAGCAGAGGACCCAAGGAGTTGCCAGTCCTAAGCAAGCTGGTTACTGTGTTTTTACTGCCCATGGACTGCTACACATAATGAAGGCAGATCAAACCATGGTCAGTAAGATCAAGAAGGCTCAGCTATCTATTTAGATGCCTATCTAACCAATTTGGTTGCTAGTGACTCAGCTGCACTATGACTACCAAGTACGCAGCATCTCCTAGGAGTGAGTCCTAGTCTGAAACAGGATGGTTTGAACGGCTGCATTTACTAACAAAGCCCATGGTAATTCACACTGTACACTCCAACATGAACAAGCACAAGAGTGAATTCCTCCAAGGTCCCTAGACCTGGAGAGCATTGTCATCTGAGGACTTTTCATGCCTGTTGTCACAATGACTTCTTGGTGGTTGATGCCTAGACCCTTGAAAGTCAAACACAATGCTGGCTGTGTCAGTCTCATAGCGTCCCCTTGAGGGACCTCATGGAATGCAAGAGGGCTGGACAGGAAGCCGCACCACACGGGCTGAGAACACTCACTTTTTGTGCTTCTCCAGCCAGGCAGCACTGTCGGTCAGCAGGCAGAAGTTCTCAGTGACCAAGAGGTCCAGTAGGCTGTCGTGGTCAGCCTCTGCATACAGCTTGAGCAGGGCCGTGTCGATGTCTTCCTTGTAGCCATTTGCTACCTCTGTGCTGCGGACTTCATTCAGGTAGCTCATGAGGAAGCGCTTGCACTTGGCCATCTTCTCCTGATCGCCTTGGGTCAGTTGGTTCAGGTCTGCATACTCGTGAAGAGGAGGGTGGCACCGGGTGAAGGAGGAGGAGGTGGGCAACAGGAAGGGGTAGAGAGAGATCAGCTCCCGGACATCCAGCTGGCTGCTTCTGCAATTACAGGGTCAAACTAAATGAAGCAGAGAGAGAGAGAGAGAGTCCACGTAGGCACACAAACAACACTGGAGGGCAGTGCCTGCAGGCACACATTAACGGGGGTAAGTGTGTCCAAGTGATCATCCTAACTTGCTAGCGCCAATGAAACAGTACCAAACATGGTTCCAAAAACAGCAGAGGAAACAAGGGTGAGGGACATACACAGATGACTGGGGAGTGCAACATCAAGATCTGAGCTTTGAGGAAAACCCAATGAGCCCCGGGATTCCTTGAGTAAGAAAGATCCATCTAAAAACAATGCGGCATCAATCTGAGCCAAGACTGGGCCATGGCCCTTCCGAAGCCAGCATTTTCCTGATACTAAATCCCAAACAGGTTGCTCAGTGGTACTTACATAAGGGACTTTATCCTAATCTGTTCTGTGCTACTACAATTATCTAGTAGCTAGAATCCAGGGCTGAGCACCCCCACATTTTACCAGACAGCCCTGCCCAACACACCCACAATGAAGAACCGTCAGGCCTAAGAACCAGCACTGTCACACTGAGGCCTACAGGAGGGTTCCTGATACAGGAAACGTCTGCCCACTGCTTCAGATCCAGGGTGAACTGGTGAAGGAAGATTCCCCTCCTGGCGAACATGAATCAGGCAGTACTTACTGGCCAGGCTAGATCCCACACTAGATGGGAGAGGTCTCTTTCCAACCTCGATGGCTCTTCAAAAGCACGGGCTCTCTCATGCCCTTGTGTTCTCCATTCTAACACTTAGGCCAAGTTTGCTAAAGGATATGGAGGCAGGCTAAGTACCTCCAGAGGAAGACATACAGTATGGGCCCCCTGCATGAACACCATGTGGGTTTTCTCAAAGGGCCAACCTGGATGAACTTCCAGTATGGTCTTGGGCACAGCTCTGGGGTAGAGTCTGAGGACAAGGCCTGGTATAGCGAGGAACTCCTTCCGAGCACAAGAAGGACAATAACAATGCCTTCTGTCTGAGAAGCTTCTTACCCAAATGTCACTTCTCAGTGACACTGACAAGGTGAGCAGCCACCAGCCTGATGCCGTGCTGCAGAGAGACTGAGACAGAGGCATAAGAGCCTGGTCCTAAAGGCAGACAGGCCCAGCTTCTGCTCTCTCACCAAAGCAGGGGACTTTTCCAGACATGTGCTCACGTCTGTTCACCTGGTATCTTAGGCTGACCCACGAGACGAGGTATGGGGATGTACCTACGATGAGAAAGTCAAGGGCGCTGGCACTGCCAGGGCACTACAATATGGGAGCTGAGGTGCAAATGAGGAAGGGGTCAGGTTAAACTGAAACCGCCAGTCTCCATAGGAGCAGGTGGCGGCAGCGTCTGGACCGGCAGAGATGAAAGTGCTCCTGTGGGAGCCACTCCTCAAGAAGCGACACCTTCCCTCAGAAGCCTGCCACTCTTTGACAGAGGACGACATCAACGTGCTGTGCACATGAGTGCACGCTCGGGCATGAGCAATCACCCTTGAGGAAGGGCAGAGGAAGCCTACCAGAGAGGGGCCTGCTAAGTCCCCTGGGATGTACAGGGTCTACACAGTTTCTTACATATGCTGTTTGCTAGGAAACTCTAGACCACAGAATGTTCCCGTGAAGCACTGCTCTTTAGGATGCTTAGAGACTAAAATCATAGCAGGTGCCACTGCATTTCCCTGGAGGGTGCTGAGCAGGTCCGTGAGTAGCCATGGTCTCGGGAACACACCAGTGAGGGCACAGGACAGACAAAGGGCAGGACAAAGGGCGACAAAGCTGATCTTCCTGCACACGCATGGGTAAGGCAGAGGAAGAGCAACAGAGACTGTGAGAAGCAAACCAGCAAGAGAAACGGGAGAAGACAAAAGAGAGAAAACGAATGCCCGTGAGGACCCACAGGGAAGTCCCCCAGGGACAGGACCACTCATAAGGACCAATGGTTGTCCTCCTAAAGACAAGCTCACTTCCTGACCGGGCATAAGCCATCTTGAAAGTCTACAAGATGATTAGAAAGTTTTTACAAGCTGGGCAGTAGCAGCACACACCTTTAATCCCAGCACACAGGAGGTAGAGACAGTGAGTTCGAGGCCAGGCTGGCCTACAGAGCAAGTTCCAAGACGGCCGGGACTGTTATACAGAGAAGCCCTGTCTCAAAAAACAACAACAAAAAAAGTTTTCATAGTTTTTCCCAGAAGCCCTTGCTTTCTTTAAACTCAGTTTCCAGTGAAATCTCTAAAAAAAGGAGGCAAGAATAAATGCACCTCAGAATCGACACAGTAGCAATCTCACTCCAGAACCCTGCTGTCCTGGCTCAGGAAACCTGCTACCTTTGTGGACTCTCCTCAGCCTGCCAACTCAGGAAACGGGACAGTGGACATACTAAGCCCAGGAACCACCTTGAAAAGCCCTTACCATTCCTACCTGCATCTCCATCTGGCCATGCCACAGTCACCCCTTGAAATCACACAGATGATGGAGGCTCCCAGCACAGGGAACACTGAGTGACAGTTCTGCTACCAACACTTCAAATTACCTGAAGAGCTCTTTGGCTTCCAGGAACTGGAGTTGTGCAAACTGTATAAAGCCTGCCTGCTGCAGAATCCGCCTGTACATTACCTGTAAAGAAGCACGGATCAGTTATCTCCTGAAGATGCCTTAAAACCATCACCACAGGGGAAGGCTGCATTCACTATCCACAACCCAATTTACCTTACTCCACAGTGGTAACAAGCTACTAGTTACAGAAAAAATGTACTTGAATATGTGTATTTATGCCACAGTAGGGAGAAGGCGCTGGGTTCCCCAGGGCCCCAGAGATACCAACATATGTTCAAGTCCCTTAGACAGAGCAGCATTGCACCCCATAGAATATATGTACACTGTCCTATATGCTTTAAGTCATGTCTAGATTATCTGTAATACCTAGCAAGTTGTAAGACCAATACAATCAGTTCTTATAATGTCCAAGAAAACAGGCTGTACATCTTCAGTACAAATGCAAATCTTCTACTTGTGATGCTTGATGGTGGAGCCCAAATTCTCATGCATACAGGGAAATAGTACTCTACTGAGCTGAGGAGCCGAACACACAAACAAACACACACATGCACGCACGCACGCACGCACACACACACACACACACACACACACACACACACACACACACACACATCTTCATAGAGTTGATTCCATGAACCCCCAAGGTACTGCTTCACCCTTCTCCTCAATCCACTAGGCTTCTGTCACTGTTTCAGCCTCTGGTTGCTCACGTGGAAATCAACAACCTCAGGGGTTCTGGCATGTTCTTCTACTCTTCTGAAAGTGACTTTGCAGAAGTATTTCTCATGGCATCCCACGACACAAGGGGGGCCGACTTAAGTACTACACAGACACGGGCCTCTTAGGTAAAGCTGAGGAAGTGCATGTGCACCATGTCTTGAAGGTACTCCAATCACATTACTAACAGACTGCATAAAGTTCCTGCAGTGGAACTCCCAGCTCACCTGGACATGGACCATGCAACCCAATTTAACTCATCTGTAAGACTCATCTATCCTTATAACATCAACAATTAACAATTAACACACAGACAGACAGATAGACAGACACACACACACACACACACACGCATGCGCACGCACGCACGCACGCACGCACGCACACACACACACACACACACACACACACACACACACACACACACACACCCTGGTCTAGAGAGATGGCTCAGTGGTTAAGAGCACTAACTGTTCTTCCAGAGGACCCAGGTTCGATTCCCAGCACTCACATGACAGCTCCCAACTGTCCATAACTCCTGTTCCAGGGGGATCTGACACCTTCATAAGACATACACTCAGGCAGAACACCAATGTACATAAGATAAAAAAATAAAAGAAATCATTAAAAATGATTAACTAATTAAAAGCTGGGCAGTGGTGACACACACCTTTAATCCCAGCACTCGGGAGGCAAAGAAGGAGGATCTCTGGGTTTGAGGCCAGGCTGGTCTACAGAGTGAGTTCCAGGGCAGCCGGGGCTACACAGAGAAAGCCTGTCTCAAAAAGCAAACAAACACATCACATGAGCATACTCCAGGAGAGTCAGTTCCTTCCTCTCTTCTCTCACTGCCCATGTCTGAACTCTACTAAGGCTTGTCTGAAATGGCTTCTGGACACATCTGGTTGCTTGCTCTCAAGTATGCCAGCATCATCCTAGCACTCTGTCTCCCAACTGAGGATGGTTTTCATCGTTCTCTTTGGCACCAAATCTTCTTCTAACCTGGAATGCCAAGAGATCCCTGAATGTCAGCTATGCCCACTACTTACCTCATCACCAGCTTATCAATTGTCTCCCAATTGGGAATTATTGCTCTGAAGGATTCCCTGGCCCATTTTCATTGAACAAATCATTATCACTCATTGCCCTCCCCTCATTTTAAATATGAGAAATTCTGTTTAAAGATAAGTAGCTTCAAAGTGGCTAAAGTGATAAATAATTGAGACATGATCTAAAGCCAGAACTCATCAACACATTCTAATGTTTTTTAGAACAATCTTGTTCTCTCAAATCAACTTTAAAAGGTTTTTTAGTGGGGTGTGTGTGTGTGAGAGAGAGAGAGAGACAGAGACAGAGACAGAGACAGAGAGAGAGACAGAGAGAGAGACAGAGAGAGAGACAGAGAGAGAGAGAGAGAGAGAGAGAGAGAGAGAGAGAGAGAGAGAGAGAGAGAGAGAGAGAACTGTGAATTCTTTTAGATTACTAGGGGTCAAACTGAAGTTCTTGTGTGTGTTGGTCATGGGTTCTGCTGCTGAGAACACCCCAGCTCACTATGGTTTTAAAGAGCTCCGCAAGCATAGCAACAGTTCCTTCAGGCACTGAGATCAGCACACTGTTTAAAGTGCCGACAGGCTTAACAGCTTACACAGCACTCTCCATCTGCCTTTATCTTTCTTCTCCGAAAACAGCCATTTCTGACCTAACAACTGGATTTACTATGCTACCTTATAACAGCAATACGTAGAAAAGAGTCCTGCTGCCCACTATCCAGTTCTGGTTCTGGAACTAGAGATAATATGAGCCATCCTTGTAGCAAAAAAGGTTAAAAGGACCTATCAGGAATGAGGAAAATCCTAGTCACATCCAGTCTCCCTACATACACACACACACACACACACACACACACACACACACACACACACACACGGCTGTTTGCACAGCTCAGGGAAAATAATACCCACATAACAAGAGAGTTGAATTTGCAGGATTACAGGGAGAAGGCAGGGATCAGATGCAAAAACACAGAACCCTCCACATAGCAGGCTGGAGAGCAAGAGAACTCATGTGATTTCACCAGGTATTGGTACACACTTTGCTCTTGTCAAAAAGGGCGGCGGGGGGGGGGGGGGGTAAAGCAAAATTCAGACACAGAATATTGAAAACTTCCATAAGAAGATGCTACATAATTTGAGCACAGTACACAAGGTGTTTGAACAAGGATGGGACACCCCTTCAACAGCAACTGTGACACAATGCCACGGCTGCACACTGCCCCTGCAGCTCCTCTTCACTCTGCCGCACCCCTGCCTGCCTATACTGTGTGGACAGGCGTGGTAATGGAAGTAGCAGCAGTCAGAGCCTGGTGCCTTTGCGTTTGCTGCCCCCTGCTGAACGCCAGTATGTGAGTGCCACTTCGGCAAGTCAGGAGCAGGGACGAGAATGTCTCAACCTTCTGTGTGACACATGCTTTTCCCATTCATTGGCAGAAGCCACCTTTGCTCTGTGAGGTAACTTACATCCAAACACATCTTTCCTGCCACAGCAATCAATCATGGGTAAAATGTCACTGGCTTTAGTTTCTAAGAACTGTTAGTGATGGATTCGGCTGATAATAGCAGATGTTTATACAGCACCATGGTTTTGGTGTTTGTAGTTTTGTTGTTGCTCTTTTTGCAGTAGGGATTGAACCTAAAGTCTCACCCATGCTAGGAATGTGATGTCACTTTTTACTTTGAGACAGGATTTCCCTAAATTCCCAGGCTGGCCTTGAACTTACTTTGTACCTCAGACAAGCCTTGAACTTGAGGGCCCCTTACCTTAGGCTTCCAAATAGCTGGCTTTCCAGGTCTATGCCTCCAGGTTCAGCTCCCATGTTTTAGCACTCTCAAATATGTAGAGTGCCTCGAATGACACATTTGGTCAGGTAGGGATTTGAAGGAGTGGGTTTGATACTGGTTGTATTTATACCAGTAACATTTAAAGTTAACATTTCTTCAGTGCACTGCCTGTTTTCTCCTGGCCACATATAGTGGTGTGTGCCTGTAATTCTTGTACTGGGAAGACTGAGATTTTTTCTAAGGAAAAGGCTGGGTTCCTGTAATGGGGAGCACTTTTTGTTTGTTTGTTTGTTTTTACGAGATAGGGTTTCTCTGTATTGGTTTGGAGGCTATCAGTCCAAACTCACAGAGATCCGTCTGCCTCTGCCTCCCGAGTGCTGGGATTAAAGGTGTGCGCCACCACCACCCGGCTGTAATGGGGAGCACTTTAACCACAGAGTGGACAAAGCAATTGCCTACAGATGATAAAAGACAGACTGCTCAGGGGGGCCAATCTTTTCACATTGTGACATGATAATGTGTGGTCTACTAATGCATTGGATTGATGTTTCCTGGATGCATGTGTCCCCCCCCGACACACATAGTCCACAGGGAGGACACACAATTAATTGAAGCCCCCAACAGATACAAACTCTAGAATCAGAGACCAGTGGCCTGACCTCACTCTGTCAGATCCTAACTGTTCTCAGGAGGCGACTGAAGGAGGGTGCTGATTTCAAATGTAGTCTAGTCTATCAAGGGAGAAACTGACAAGCTGACCATCCCGTGCTTAGCTGTGCAGTCGCAGGAGAACTGTTCGGTGCTCTGCAACCTACTTCCTTACCTATGGCAGGCGAGATGTGTTGTAGAAACTACTACATGACAGGCACAAAACCCCCGCACATGGTCTTATGTAGAGTGAGCCCGATGCATGTGGTTAAATCTAACTTGTGGCTTGCAGGCACGCTTTCTTGTGACCAGTTAATCACCAACCTGAAATTTCTCTTTTGGAATGTTCCTCCGGGCTCCTTTTGCTAAAACCAAAGCCTCCTCCACTCTCCGGCTTGCTAACAGATCCTGTATTTGTTTTTCCAGAGGTAATGGAACCAAGATGTAAACTCCTTTACTTGTGGCAACAATCACTCTTCCTGAGGGAAGAGAAGAAAAACATTAACGCTGTGGAAAGGGAAAAGGATTGCCTCCCGCAATGCATTACTGCCTTCCTCAAACTCGGCCTTTATCTGATCTGCTAATCACTCCCACCAGCTTTTCCAATACCACTCCAAACGAAATTATGGTATGATGCCTCCCTTTTCTCCCACCCACACTGACAACTGTTGGGAAAGGCCTACTTTAGTGTCACAGTGCTAAAGAATAAAATGTGTTCTTTATCCCTTTTCTACATGAAAGTGCCCATTGATTTAGAAGCCCGTGAGGAAACACATGATACAGAGTCCAACAGAGCTGTAGAGTTCCATCATGGAACACCACCAAAAACTCACCAAAAACCTCTTCCTTCCAAAGTTGGTTTACATAACCTAAGATTTTAATGTAATATTTTCAACTATGGGATACTATTTCATGCTTCCCGTCCATCCATACACCACCAAGTCTTTCTATTCACTTGGTGATTTCCCTACCATCCTGCCAGCTCTCCTTGCCCATCACTGTAACCCTTGGACCCAAAATGCTCTACAGGAAGGCTGTGGAAGATCAGGACTGTAGTCCAGGCTAGTTCCTTCCACTGGATTTTCAAAGTGAACTCCCATTCTTCTCCTAACTCAGAAGTCCCTGTTCACTGGAAGTAGTTAACTGATTTCTTCTGTCTCCTGTACCCCTATCAAAGTGCTTTTCCTTGTTTCCTGGCCGTCTGCTTGAAACCACTCTTCCCAGGAGCCTCTTTGCTCCCATATAAGGTAGGCTGCCCTGCCCTCCTCTATGTCAATAAACCCCATGCAGGTCAGCACCACTCAATATACAAAGTCCCACAACCTGAATAAATAGTCAGCCCCCTGTGTCTGCATATTACACATCCACAGCTTCTGAGACTGTAGGTTCAACCCACCAAGAGTTGAAAATAATTGGGAAACAATGATTGTGTCTGTAGCCGAACATGAGTAGATATTTTGTCCTTTGCCCCCAAACAATAAGTAAGTTAACAACTGTTTAAATAGCATTTGCATGACTTCAAGTAGGAGAGTCATCTAGAGATGATTCAAAGTCAACAAGAGTGTGTGGGTAGGTTCTAGGCTAATGCTAAGTCGTGTCATGGAAAGGACCAAACATCCATGTGTTTCACTATTCGTGCAACCTGTCTACGTGAGTCCCGAGAGATGACAGTACATGTTACTCCAATTCATGTGTCAGTGTTTACTTGGACCTGACCCCCTTTGTGGTGGGGGTATACTTCTCACTAAGGTTATATCCCAACATCTCAGACACCAGGAAGGTGATGTTTAAAAAGCAAAAAGATCTTCAAATGGCAAGTACAAGGTATGAATCTAGATTAAAAATGCTCAGAGCTGATATGAATATGGGCGGGCTAGTAGATGGTACTATAGAACCAAAGTCGACATTGTCGGTGGCCAGTGTTCTTAGGAGGCTTGTGCAGAGGCTCGTCAGTGTCTTCCATTTACTTATGAACAAAGCTGAGAAACACAAACAAGCTTCGGGTCGAGGTAAAGAGACTATGGTGGTTCACCCTGTCTCTCATTCTGTTTCTCTGAACGTTTGAAAACGTTCAGAATGGAACAGAGGGAAAGTGAAACTGATGTCCATGGCACTTAGGCCACTTGTCAACTGTGCCCAGCGGACTCACTGAGGACTCACTTGAGGGCCCTCTTGTTCAGACACACCCTTTTCTCTGATAGAAGCTTCTGCATACACCTGCTTGGCTGACTCCTATTCATCCTTAAACATCACCCGTGGGAAGCCCTCTCTGACTGCTCCAGGAACCAGCTCTCCCTTTGCACTCCCCAGGGAACCTACTCCATCTCCAGCCAAAACTGACATGCCTGCCACACCCTTAACCTTGTTGTCCCTCAAACACAGCAACTGCATTACAGTGACTGCCTTCTTTTCTTTTTAAAGTTTTATTTCTTTGTGTGTATGTGTGTGTGTCGTGACACACACACAGGTGCACACATACAACTGTGAGCAGTCTGACACGGTACTGAGAAGCAGCGGGTGTGCTTACCCACAGCCATTTCTCCAGCTGTTTGTGTATCTTCTCTCAGCATAAGGCTCAGCTCCTAGTGTGTCCCGGGTATCATTTACGGTAGAAAGACTACAGAAAGTGTGGAATAAAAATGCTGTTGAGATTACTACAACAGGTACCTTCAAAGTCCTGCAGGATGTGACCTTCCTTAAAGGGCAGGGTCTGTTTCTGCTGCTGATCCAGCATGCTGTGAACCGTGATGAATTCGTCATCCAGTGCTATGACATAGGGGAAGCAAACAGCTGCCCCAATCACATTCTCTGACCAGTGCACAGGAGCACGCTGGGAAATCCCGGCCACAGTGGCAAACATGCCTAGGAAAATAGAAAGGAGGTGTCTTCAAATAGCTATGAGGCATTCTTTGTCATAGAAATGGCGGGGTGAAAAGTAACTCACTCACTCAATTCTTCCACAGCCTTGCATTTCAAAAACAATAATAGAATATACTCGTGTGCGAAGAACTGTGTATGACTTCATCACCATGAAGAGAACTTATTCAGAATGCATATCATGTCTGCTTGTAATTACAAATGAGATTTTAAAATATTTCTTTGAACTCACGTGCCCATTTATAAATGGCATGTTCCCCACACGGGAGAGAAAGTGCTCAGGAAGCGTGGCAAGCTTTCTTCCACTCCCCCACCTAGCTTGCCTCTATGCTTCTAGCTCCTTGTCACGCATTGGGTCAACATATTTACTAAGCACCTACTATGTGCCAGGCACTCTAAGAGTCCTTTCAGAAGCTGGCTGTGCTTGGAGTTGAGGTCTGAGCAGGTAATTAATTGGTTTTACCCCTTTATCACTGAGAATGTATATATGCTATAAGAACACATATGCTATAACACAAATAAAACCTGTTTTATTCTATTCAAGGTAGACTGCTGTAAAGCCTTTGCCCATAGTAAACTTGTGACAGTTTATCTATACTGTACATAAGGCATCACTGAGGTGAATATTTTGACCAAGAGGTGTCAATCCACTTTAACTTTCAAAAGCATCACAGAGTTGCTTCCAAATGATTAGACACCACTGAAGCAATCAAGCAGCTATTGCTACAACAGGGGCTTGGAGACGAAGCAGGTATAAGAGGAGGGGCCGAAGGCCATTGCTTTGGGTTTCTGCTGAGGCTGCACATGCTAGCAGGACCTCATGAGCCAGGGAGCAAACCCAGAAAAGTGGGAAGGGAAGAACCCAGGCCCTCCTCCAGTCCTTCTCAAGACCCACCCTAAGATTCCACCTCCTAGAAAGTGGTTCTTAACCAGTCATGTGTGACCCCTTGGAGTCTGGATGAATGACCCTTTCACAGGGGTTGCCTAAGACCTTCAGAAAACAGACATTTACATTACGATTCATAACAGTAACAAAATTACAGCTATGAAGTAGCAACAAAATAACTGTATGGTTGGGGGTCATCACATTTTGAAGAACTGTACTAAAGGGTCACAGCATTAGGAAAGTTGAGAACCACTGTCCGAGAGGACCCACCATTTTCCATTGTTACCATAGAGACCAAGACTCTAACACAGGGATCCTCAGGGGGGGCACACATCCTGACCATAGCAAACAGTAATGCCCAAGTGTACAAAAACAGCTTCAGAAAACACTGAGGGAATGAAGCACGGAGATGAATGGAGACTAAGATGGGGATGTTGGTGCTATGATTGGAAGTCAGCCTAAGAGGCCAAAAAGGAGAAGAAGAAATGAACAGCATGGCTGGTAATATGATGCCACCTTCACCAAGACATGAGGTAAATACAAACGGACAAAGGGATGGCCATGAATGTCCCAGAGTTTCTGCTAAATTCTGGATGAAAAAGTCATACTCTGAGTATAACACAGAGGCTCTCAACACTGCCAGTCAGGGTCACTATACTTACTCTCTTAAGAAAATCACACGAGGCCCTGGCTAGTGTTTCTGACAGAAAGAGGGCAGAAGTCAGATGCCAAGAGCTACGGCTTCTGCGGTCTCACTGGAGTGAAGGATCAGAGCCCTTACTGGCGAATGAGAAGAGCCAGTCAAGCCAGAAAAGTACCCCCTAAGCAAGACAATACTAACCAGACTATTACTAAAGTGCCCCAGCTAGCTCTCTTCTGGCCAAGCAGGCGATGAAGTCTGTGGCTTTTATACTACTATAGGAGCCCAAGTGTTGCCGGAATGCAATGTGAGAGATCTGGAAAGGGCACACCAACTTTTAAAACCACTCTTTTTGGCTATGCCCCTTCTAGGTTCAAGCCCACCTGTGATCTAAGGCCAAGCTGGAGAAGAGCTCACATAATATGAAGAGCAACTGGATTATTTCCCTGTCTAGAAGTGCCATCAAGGAGTGTAGTTACAGTACTATAAAAAGTCTGATAAACTTGCCTTACAAAAGGGCAAGCATAATCTCTTATGACAAGAATGGTTGTAAATTACACTTGGGGAGAAAGGCAGAAGAAAAAATAAATATAGGTGGCATGCTGAAAGGTGCATGTACAATCTTGACAGTAATTTGTTTGGATTCTTAGTAATGAGGCTATTTGTAGAAACTATAGTTACAGAAGGTATGTGTAAGAAACCTTACAAATAATCTTTCTATGTGCTTATAACTATATTCACTACAAGCAGAATGGCAATTGAGTAACTTGGTTCATTTAGCATGATGCCCATGTAGATGAGGCATAGAAAGCACGGGGGGGGGAGATGCACCCAAAAGATGATTCTCCTTTCCTTTAATCTAACACTATCACCAAGAAAGGAGCGAGCATAGGACCCTAACAGGTCCCTGTGAAGCCTTCAGAACCAGAGCAGACAGGGCTACGCTAGAGGACAGGTGCGGTGAAATGGGAATTCCAGATACAGACCCAAGGTATGAGGAAGTTAGGGTCTACTAAAGGCGGCCACTGAAATCAACAAAGAAAAGGGCTCTGCCAACAGCGTATGGGCATAGTGGACAGTCATTTAAAAACAAAGCAATTGAATTGCTTCTTTACAAGGTAAGACATGAGACCATATAGGTAATATCAGAAAACACAGACGACTTTGTCTATAAAGTGGAAGACAGAGAAGACTCCTAATTACAATTCAAAATCATAAAGTAATAACTTAAAAAGACGATACACTGGATTATACAGAACTTTGTAAAAAGAGATTTGTGCAAGGCAAAAATTAGAAACAAATACCTAAAAACTAAGTGGCAGACATGTTGGTATTTCAAATGTTAGTGATAATAAAGGGTTTGGGGCGGGATTCAATAAATGGTAGGACATGGGCTTGGCATGAATGAGGCCCTGAGTTTAGTCTCGAGTGCACGTGCGTGCGCGCGCGCGCACACACACACACACACACAATTAAAAATAGATGACAAAATAGGTAATCCCTATTAACCTAAAGAAGCATAATAGACTCCTAAACATAAGAAATTCAGCGTTGCTCACAGAGAAATGTGCTATGCTCCCAAAGACACAAAAGCTTGGCAGTATTCTCTGTTGGCCACGCTTGGTAGAAAAGCACTGCCATGTCACCAGGGAGAATATAAAAGAACCCTTACCAAAGGAGACATGGCAACACCCAGCTCAGTTCACATATATTCACGCTCTCACTCAGTGTAAATCTGCTGAAACAGGAAACAAAACTAATAGTAACAGTAATAATGATAAACAAATAAATAGATTACCTAAGTGGGGAGGCTAGATGTGGGCAGGATACAGGCTAGACCCTTTGTGGGGATCTACATCACAGGAGTACTTGCAGGACGATGGAAAGGAAACCTTGGTGTAGTGGAAAGGTGACACTAAGGTACAGAAGGATGGATCCTCACATAACCTTATGATGCAGTTATTCTAACAGGGTAGAATTCCCAGCACTGTCCATTGAACAAGAGCTCCTGCGCCCAGACCATGGTCTGTAAGCAGCAGGGCTCTGGGGAGGAGTGACTTGACACCAGGTGAGGAGCAAGAACATATGAAACGTGAAGCTCTCGGATCTCTAGAGACATAGAAAAGTGGTTCACGAACCACAGATTTCTAACAGGATCCATGAGTTTACAATCAGGATCATTGAAACATATCCCTAGTTGATAGAAGGGACCTGATAGAGTCTCACCCCAACTTCATACATAGTGCCTGGGAGATGCCAAGTGGGTAAGGATGGGGAAGTTTGCTCCACAGAGGCATTCCCAGTGATACATGAAGGGAAGGATAGACAGAAACACAAAGCTGCCTATTGTCAGGCCTAAAGATGGCATGGACCCAGCAGTGGTCAGCAACTGCCATTATCACCACAAGAGGGCAGAAAGCCATGCAAATTCCCCATAGAGGTACCCACACTATGTTTCTTGCAAGCACAAAAGACCTTAAATCTCCTAATTATCTAATTGCAATGAACAGAGTTCTGAGGGGTCAGAGTGGCATGTTAAACTACTCTGTGGGGTTAAAACTATCAAAATCCCAAAGTTTAGGAAACCATCCAACTTCTTCAACAAGGGAGAAAAGAAAAAAATAAAAATACAATTTAACAAGTCTATCAGTCAATTACAATGTATGAGTCTTGGATGGTACTGAGACAAGAAAACTGAAAACACAACAAAAACAAAAAAGAAAACTACATAGGTATTTAAACATAAGCACACATTACATTTTTGTGTGTGTCTAAGACATATGATAAAATAGGAGGAATATAGCGTGTCTACATGTATTTGATAGTATTTTAAGATCATTGCAGTTTTTCATTGGCATACACGTGTCTATAACTTTGAGCCATATTAAATAATTACAGATGAGGTGCTATGTTGTCTAGAGCTACTTCAAAATAACAAAAAGGGAGAGGACGTGTATACAAAGGGACAGAGAAAAGACACACTGGTCTCTTTAAGTCATGCTCACATGCATATATCTGTGTATGAGTGTTATATAATATATACTTATAGAGTAACTACATATATAATTATGTTTATCATCTACTTTTAATTATTTTATTCAACAATATTTTAATATATAATATATAATTATATATAAACACACATAATTACATATAATATATAATTATATATTATATAAAGATAATTATATATTTAATTATAAATGATATATAATAATTTACATAGTATATAAATTAAAAACATATATGGGTGCCTTGGTCCTGCCTCAACTAGATAATGGGACAGATTTAGTAGACTTCCTGTGGGAGGCCTTACCCTCTCTGTGGAGCGGATGGGAGGAGAGGGGAGTAGAGGGAGTAGCGGGAGGATGAACTGGAATTGGAATGTAAAAAAATTTTTTTAATACATTTGGTTTATAATATAAATACACATATATAATTTAATAATTTATATTATATGTAAATTATGTGTAGATATATAATTTATAATATTTATTATATTATACTATAGTACATGAATATATAATTAACATAATATAAATATATAATTAAGTATATATAGATATATATATATACTTTCTATAATAAAAATTCATGTTTTCTAGAGCAAAGGATATTGGGCCCAAGTATTTTCTTCTTCTATCAAGCCATGAACAGACATGGAAGAATCTTGAATACACAGTCAAGTAAAAGCTACTTTCAAAGGCCACATGTCATATGATTCTAACTATATATCCATGCCAACAGTGAAGGCAGTGCAAGGTTAGTAGTTGCCAGGAGGAGGGGTAGGGGTTCAGGAGGACTAGGTCAAGCCTGGGGATTTTTAAGGCAGTGAAAGCATGCTGTATGATTCCACAGGAGTAGTCCCCATTCATTTGTGCAAACCTGTCAAGTGTACACCAACAAGCATGAACCCTACTGTGAATTTGAACTCTGTTTATCAATGAGGTGTTAATCATGCTCACTGGCTACACCTAAAATACACTCTGGTGGAAAATGGTCACACCACTCCCCTTTCACAATCTGATGGACTTCCAGCACTCGTCAGTCGTGCAGATCTGCTGTGACCTGGTCACGCATTTCCGGTGCGGCCAAGCACTTGTGAGTACAGTCATGTACCACATGCCATCTGCTCCACAGTGCACTGCATGTGATCACTATGCCACCTAGTGACACTGTAGCCATCTTAATGACCAACAGATTTTGTACAATGACACAATCACCTAATATGTTTCTTAGAACCATGTCATCGAGTGACACATTTCACTGTGGAACCCTCATTATTCTCCCACTGCAAGGTATATCCAGAAACCCTGCGACAGCAGGCAGGATGTCGGTGCCCCGAACAGTAACACTGCAGCCCCTCCTCACCCAGGCCTCCGGGGCCAGCCAGCAGGAACTCCTGTCTGCCTATCCTCTTGACAATGGGTGGCTTCTCCTCACTGCAGTAGGGAAACAGGTCCTGGGAAAGGCCTGTGCTGTAGTTCAGGATGATGTACTGGGTGGTCAGGGCCAGGCACAAGAAGTAGCCATCCACAGCCACAGCAAGAGGCTGCTCTGGAGTAGATACTTCCTTGACAATCTGTACTCGGTCCTCATACACCAGAAACATTTGGACGGTCCGGCGCTTCACAGAGATGATGCACACTTCCACGCAGAAAGGGTCCCCATTCACAGGGTTCTCGTTCACTGCAAATGTTGTAGCCCCCTTGATGCGGGCTCCCGAGGGGACTGGCTCCAGGTTCAGCATGTTAACCAGGGTTATGGAGTTGTCGCAGAGCACCAGAAGCCTATTGAGAGCTGAGGCCGCACACAACTCGTTCACTGGCTTCTTGAAGCCCAGGTGTCTGTGCAGCTGCTTGGTGGCAGTGAACGAGGTCGTCCCGGTAGGCATGGCCTTCTCCTCCAACAGGAAGTGGTAAATGAAGCAGTCATTGGTACCGACGTAGAGATTCCTGCCACAGCACTCCACACACTCGATGCTGATGTGCTCCTTGTCACCTGTCAGCAGCTCCCGCTCCACTGCAGAGACCAAGGTGAAGGCCTTGATGTTCATCATGTCTACTGGGTGATCCTGTGGGAAGATGGATGGAAAATATCAATCTTGGAGGAAGACGCAGGAACACCACGCTCCAATAAAGATGCACCGACTCACCATTCACCGTTTCAGCAGAAAGAAGACAGAAAGAAAAGCGTTCCCATGGCTTGCCTCCCTCGGAGGCTGGGGAACCTGGGAAAGAATACACATACATGTGCTTAGGATGACTTCCCCTTCCGCTCATTCCCAACAGAGCTGAAAGCTCCACAGAATTTTCTCCACAGTTCCTGGGAGACACAGTGCAGATAGAACACCTATTCACACACCCACAGACAACATGAGAGATACACTTCTGAAAAAAGCTGTAAGAGACCTCATCAAGCTCCTCTGATGTCTATAGGTACTTGCATGTGTGTCTAACAGAGCAGTGGGAGCTATGTTCTGAATCCCTTTGTGCTCTCCACGGGGCAAGCTTGTCAGCTTCAGCTCCACACTAGTCTCTAGGAGTAAACACGCTCCCACTGAGTAGCAAAGATAAGCCTCCAGTTTCCCATCTTGCAGGCGGTGAGATGAGCTGCCTCAGTAGGTCTGAGCGGGTTACTGGTATGGCCATCATGGGATAGCCTTCTTGGAAGAAAAGCACTCTGGGCTTCCAAAGGTCTCCAACACAGCTTCTGGTTTTACACTTCACAAAGTCAGAAGCTGCAAAACAGCCTTCCTTGGTTTCTCAGTGGTAGAAAGGCAGCTCCCAAGGACAAACCCTAACTCCTGTGAGGCAGGGGACCCACAGATTTAGAGGGACTACGAGGCTGAGAGAAGTGACAGAGGCCATCATCAGGCCAACATAAGAAAGCGGCCTCTCAGACACCCACAGTTAAACACTGAACTGAACTCCTGGAACCCAGGTGCAGAGAGGGAAGAGTGATGAGCAAAGGGGTCAAGACTGGGCTGGTGAAACCCACAGAAACAGCTGACCTGAACAAGGGGAAGTTCATGGACACCAGACTAATGGCTAGGAGGCCAGCATGGGACAGATCCAGACCCCCTGAACGTGGGTGTCAGTGAGGAGGCCTCTGCAATCTATGGGGCCTTGGGTAGTAGATCAGTATTTATCCCTGGCACACAAATAGACTTTGGGAGTCCATTCCACATGGAGGGATGCTCTCTCAGCCTGGACACATGGGGAAGGGCCTAGACCCTGCCCTGGATGAAATGACAGACTCTGAAGATCCCCCATGGAGGGCCTCACCCTCCCTAGGGAACAGTGTGGGGATTGGAGGGCTGGGGGTTTGGTGGGAGGTGGGGGAGGAGGGAAGGGGGAGGAAGCTGGGATTGACATGTGAAGTATGCTCGTTTCTAATTTAAATTAAAAAAAAGATTTAAAAGAAAAAGAAAAACTACTATAGCAAAGAAAGAAAGAAAGAAAAAAGAAAGAAAGAAAAAAGAAAATGGCCTCTGTCACATCAACCTTCTCGGATGGAATAGGATCACTTTCTGAGAAATTAATTCCAATTCTTTGACAATTCCAATGAAGGTTAGAAGAACTCAGAAATGAGCTACTTCAGGGGAGGGAGGAGCCCCATAGTGTCAATGCCTTTCCACTCAAACGTTCTAGAGTAGTGTGGTTCTCAACCTTCCTAATGCTGAGACCCTTTAATACAGTTCCTCACGCTGTAGTGATCCCCAACCATAAAGTTATTTTTGTTGCTACTTCATAACTATAATTTTGCTACTGTTATGAATCATAAAGCATTTTTTTTGGAGATAGAGGGTTGTCATGGGGTCACAACCCACCTTCTGAGAAGCACTGCTCTAGAGTGTCACAGTTTTGGGCACTCCTTGCCCGATGAGGCAACAGCAGGTATTTTGCATCAGACTATGACTCCCTTCCCTGAGCCCACATGCCCAAGAGGGAGGACTGTCTGCGGAAATACCTAAGCTCTCCATCACTTGAAATGAAGTTGGAATGTCTCTTCCTAGGTCATGAGTTCAAACTTCACCTCCTTTGTAGTAGTAATGGGAGGAGAAATGGACTTGCAATTAAGGCTTGAGCGTGAGGACCCTAGGTATGGGCTTAGTGCCCTTCACAAGGAGGGTAGAGAGCTGTGTGTCCCTCCTATGTGTGATTACATAGCACAATGTGCCTCTATGAACAGAGAGCCTAACCAGACACTGACTGATGGATGGTCCTTTGCGCTTCACATTCTCCACAGGTGTGAGCGATAAAGTATCATCACTTACAGGTCACCCAGGCCACTACGCTGTAGCAGGACAAAGGCACTTAGCTTTCCAGTCTGGTCCACATCTGTGAAATGAGTGTAAAAGCAGCAGCCTCTACTTCACAAGCCTGAGGTAGAATAAATCTGCTTAGGTAGTGTTCACTCTCTGGCACACAGCACTCCGAAGCTGTTTATTCCAGCACAGAGACTAACTCTCCCCCCTTCTTGATGGGCTCCACTGCTCTCAGGCCCCGCCCCCCATCTGCTTTATCTCCCAATCTGGGCTCCGAGAAAGAAAGACTACCATGCTCTGTTCTCAGGTATGACTATCTCACTGACCTTTACCAAGGACCAGGGGAAACAAACAAGAGCCGGCACAGGGGATGCTGGTGCACACCTCTGTCCAACACATCCAGCAGGGCAGAGGTGAACTACCACAAGTTCAAGGCCAGCCAGGGCTACACAGTAGGACCCTGTCTCACAACAAAACAAAGAGCAGGAGCAGGAGAGGAGAATGGGTGGGGGAGAGAACCTCTTACTCCTGGCCCCATGTGAGATGTGAGCCTGAATGGCAGCTCCTAGGGGGGCGAAGGAGGGAAGACCTCCTAAGTGACCAGACTTCTCAGAGGAGACAGCTGGAAGAAGAGCCCATATAGACCTCTGCAAGTAATATCAGGAACATAAAACTTTTTCTCTTTCTTAAACAAGCACCATCTATTTGTCAAGACCAAATAGAATTACCAGAACCCACCTTGACAACTTTTCCATTTAAATGCTAATGAGTAAACCACAAATATTGAAATGTAGGCTTGGAGACATCTAAGCCAGTAAAAGCTGAAATAATACAAAATATGTCTTCCTTCATTGGTTGATCAATCAGGGCTGTCTTTTAAAATGGCAGGATAAAGCGATCCTGCCACTTAAAATATGAATTGTACCTCCTGCTTTTGGCAAAGAATAAGGAAACAAGCTTTGGGCATCTACAATCACACTCCTCTTATTTAACTTCAGAAAGCAGGTTGTACATAATTCTAGTTCCGTCTTCCCTCAACACAGAGATAAACTACACATACTTGCAGTGAAGAATATCATGTAGAGCCAAATACCTCCTGTTTAGTTTAATGAAGGGGTGAGCAGAAGAGGGGAAGGAGGGGGAACTGGAAGGCGATCATGTGTCTTATGAAAAAGCTATAATTCTATGGCACTTAAAAACAAATGCAGTACTGTTTCATCATCTGCCAGCAAATTTCCTAGTAGAGGTCTTTAAATGAAAAACAAACAAACAAACAAAAAAACAACTGGAGAGATGGCTCAGTGGTTAAGACGATTGGCTGTTCTTCTAGAGGACCCAGGTTCAATTCCCAGCACCTAATGATGGCTTATAATTATCTACAGCTCCATTGTCAGGGAAATCCAGTGCCCTCTTCTGGTCTTCCTGGGCACTAGGCATCACATGCAGGCAAAATACTCATATACAAAGGAATACTAGTATTTTTTTAATTAAAAGTCGACTCTTTTCTCTCCATGTTGCTGTGTAAGACAGGGTGTATTGTAACCAAGTTATTCTGGAATCCCCCGTCTCCTCCTTCCACTCCTAAGTGCTGCGATTGTTAGGTATGTTTCCCCACACCTATTAAGAATCTGTACACAAAAAATAAAAGACCCAGAAGCTGATATTAGGGTTCAAACTTCAAGCTGAAGATAAGAAAAGCAAAGCAGCCAGGCAGTAGCTTGTACTCTACCTCAGACTGAAAGGTGGCCCTGGCTCCACCAACCTCAGACTGCTGCCTCTCCTCAGCATGGCTGGAGAATCCTGAGACTGCATGTCTTCCTATCCTCGGTGTGGCTGGAGAATGACTGCCAGCTCTGAGACCCTGCTCCTGTCTTATATACCTTCCTAATGCTGGGATTAAAGGCGTGTCATCCCAGGTGCTGGGATCAAAGGCATGAGCTCTGTTACTCTTCACTCTTGTATAGGCCATGGTGGCCTTGAACTAACAGAGACCCGTCTACCTCTTAATCTTAAATCCTGGGGTTAAAAGTATGTACTACCACTGCCTATACCTATAGCTTGAGGATGACTTTGCTTTGTGAATCCTTAGGCAAGCTCTACTAAATCATAAATAATATATCACCATAAGAGCCTGCTCTTGTAGTCAAACAATAAGTTTATATAAAAAAGCAAAGTTGGATGGAGGCAAGTGAAAGATGAACACATAACTTAAAATGACTTATTCTTACAAGCAGTTGCAGCATTCTCTCCATAATCTAGTTAAAGGATATATTTATGTAGCTGAAATAAGACTTCTAAAGAGGTAAACATTAGGCCACATATTTGTGTTATCATTAAGTCCAACTTGCAGCAAGTTCCTCTTCGTGTGTAAATAAAATAAAAAGTTCTAAGATGGTGACTCACTTCCCAAGGGCCTTACAACCTCATGATGGAACTAAGACTAAGAAATACAAGGGGAAGCCGGGCGTTGGTGGCGCACGCCTTTAATCCCAGCACTCGGGAGGCAGAGGCAGGCGGATCTCTGTGAGTTCGAGGCCATCCTGGTCTACAAAGCGAGTTCCCGGAAAGCCTCCAAAACAATACGGAGAAACCCTGCCTCGAAAAACCAAAAAAAAAAAAAAAAAAAAAAAAAAAAGAAAGAAATACAAGGGTAATAGATGAATACTGCCTAAAAGTCAAAATAACAGTGTTATATTTTGCTCTTTACATAACTTTTTTACTAGTCCTTCAAGAATTTCATAGAATGTGCTCTCTACCCACTTAACTTTGTGTATTTATTTGTTTGTTTATTTATTTTGACCATC